GGTGAGGGTCTTTTTTGGTGGTGGCTTTACAGCAGTGCAGGTGTCTCATATGGCAGAAAATGAGAAAGCAGAGAGAGAGAGAGAGAGAGACACTCTCTTGTTCACTTCTTTTAAAGCCCATGGAACTACACCGATGGCCACTGTTATTAATCCATTCACTAGGCCTCAGAATCTAATCAGCTCTTCAAGGCCCCATCTTTCATACCATAATAGAATTTCCCACCCTTGACTGTTACAGTGGGAATTAAGCTTCTGATCTATGGACTTTGGTGGACACAATTCAATCAATCCACAACAACCTCTCTCCATTTTCATTATATGAGACTTTTACATTCTTCAGGTGTCCAGCTTCTAAGAGTGTCACATCTGGGATTCAAATAACCTTAAATACCTCATAAGTTTTACGAAAAAATATCTTCATATCTTCACACTCCAAGCTGCTTCTCATGACATATTTGATGAGAAAAGTATCTATTTACTATCCCAATATAAACAATAATACTCTTTAAGAATTGACTTTGAGTTTTCAAACAATCAATTATTTATTTGGCAATATCTTATTAGTTAGAGTTAGCCTCAGCTACTGAAACATCAAACAACTTTATGGTATGGAAATCTCTCAGACATTCACACTGAAAAATATTTGTATTGTATCTGGCCTTCAGAAATATTTGCCCAGGAATTCATGCGTTAGTATATTCATATTACAAGTGACACAGTTAGGTGACCTACACAGCCTCTCAGGACTAAGTAGTAACAGAATAAGAACAGTTTTTGCCACAGCATAGTGTCTGGCACATAGCAGGAGTATAATAAATAGTTATGAATTAAATAGTCCTGACATATATGAATGAACATGCTATTCATCCTACATACAGAGGACCTGCTGATCACTCGAGCAGAGATCCAAAAATGTTGAATAACATTCCAGGATTCATAGAGCTGATTTCATGTTAGCAATAAAGTTAGGGAGAAAGCCTTCAGCTTCATAGCCCCTTGTGCTCTTCTCAAAGCCTGCAGAGGAGGGCTTAGAGTCTTTGTATAAAGAAATTAAGATTAACATGAATAATAGCCTGTGAATTTTCATTTATTTGAATATTAGATTAAAGGCACAGTTGTGTTTGTGAGGTATATCTTTTGTCCCCAGACAAAAAGTATTTTTCTGAGGAAAGTAGTAACATACACACACAAGAAAGTTTATAAATCTCCCAACAACTTAAGATACATAAAACAATTATTTCTTATACCCTTTTTATATTATTTGACACAAGTACTAGTATTTTTTAATATCTGAAATAATAATTTTCATATATTATCTAATAGGATAAAATGAAATATATTTTATTTTTCTCATATAACAGAATATCAGCCTGCATCCTCTGGAGGATTTACTTTATTTTTTCATTTAACAAATATTTGTTAAGTAAGAAATGGGTGATACCTCAGAAAAGGCAGGGGCCCTCAAAGAAATCATATTCTGTTAGGAGCAGAGAAACAATAAACATATTCACAACAAGATAATTTGAAATGATGGTAAGGCTAAATAAAACATAAAACTAGGAAATGTGATAGAGACTTTAAGGAACATGCATTCCTGGAAAGGATGATCAGGATCTGTTTCTAATAATATATGAGCTGAAACATACACAGGTACTTGGAAATGTTATGGAAAAATTGAATGAAAAAATAATACAAATCCTTCTGTGAACTTTTTGAAGATCACTCATACATTTTAGATTTCTATATGGATATTTAGAAAAGGGGTTCTACAGGCAGAGGAAACAGCAAGTATAAAGGCTATAAGATAAGAACGAATGTGAAATGTTTGAGGGGCTATAAATAAAGGATATTGTGATAAACAGGGCATTTCATTTAAGGAGTTTGCATTTTACTATCACATGGCAAAACACTTAGGAAAAGTGGTTTGGTACAGGGAGGGTAAATACTGGGCAAAAACAAGACTGACCTTAAATGATAATATGTTTTTAGATCTAGAGGAAAGTGTACTATGCATGGTTTATATCATATTTTGTTAAGTGACATCTTGTTCCAGCAAACTTCAAAGTAAACAGTAGCCTGCAGTTTCAAAACAGAATACACTTAACAATGTATGCGAACACGTAATGACATAGTGGTGTAAAATCATTCTCTGCGTCTTGCTCATGGAACTGGGTCAGGCCAAACCCTAGTAATATTAGTAAAAGGCTCTATTGAGTAGAGGGACATAATGAAGGTTAGGTAGAAAGACGACCAAATTAGGTAAGGGTTTCTCACAGCAATCTGTGGTCTCCAACAGGAAAATTCTACAATGTCGTCAAGGAGTCAACCCAGAATCCAAGATAGGAGGCCTCATTGCAGGCTTGTAGTCCAAAAAAGAAATGAAGTCAGATTCTAAGAGTGGATGAAAAGGTTGAAACATAAAGGCAAAGATAGTGCTCTACCATGGCCATCAGAGATGAAGAGTTGAAATTACATTTTGTCATGTTGACTCTGTTAATCTGCTGTGATCCTGGCAATGTCAAGAGGCCTGTGGGAGCAGATGACCGCCCCCAAATTTAGATAATTAAATATTGAACATATATGTATATCTCCTTCAAAGTTCCATTGAAAAATTTGTCTTGCCTAAACAGCATTTACTAAAAATCAATGTTTGATACCATTAACTGGAAGTTCACTATTGATTTTCAGCATGAGTTCAGCCATTACTCAAACCTAGGGATTTGTCAACAGATACCTTAAGCCTATTATAGATCCAGCTTTTAGATATGTAGTGTGTTAAGAGGAGCCAATATCTGAATATTGTGAATGCAGTAACTACCATTGCTTCCTGCATGACCTAATTATTGAAAATCCACATTGCAAAGCTACATTAGCCTTGGATTTGGCCAAGACATGCCTGACTCTTTCACATTAACTTGTTTTCTCCGGTCTCACTTTAACATGCAAAAGAAAAAAACAACTTGAATTGCTCAGTACCTTCTGGGGTATTTCACTCCTGACATGAGCATTCAATGTCATGACCTCCTAGTCTGCAGTGAGAGAAGAGAAAGAAAGATCAGTCAAGACTGCAGCAGAGAACCAACAGAAAAAGAAATCTGAACTATTACTTTTTTTCTTTTAATAATTTGTAAATTCGCTTCCCTGACATATGGAAACAATATATTCAATTAGGTTTTTTAAGTTATTTATCCAAAAAGAAATTTTTGCTGAGTCTCTTGCTAATGTATCAGGAGTTGTGCTAAGTGCTGGCAGCTTATCCATGTGTATGTATATACATGTACATTTAAAAATTAGTGATAAATTTTATGAAGAAACAAACAAGGTCAGAAATAGAAACTAATGGGGTGGGACATTGGCAAGAATACAGGGACTAAGACATACATATCAAAGTTACCATTATGAGTAAAATGGTCCCTAAATGTCATCATTCATAATAGCCCTCTCCTACCCACTTAAGAACACACCTCAACCCTAGTCCTTGTAAGGTTCTTCTTTTTTCTTAGACAACTTGATAGAGAAAGATTAATGAGAAGGAAATATATGTCTGTCCTATTTCTAATAAATTCCCAGTTGCTGCTGTTACTGCAGCTTTTCAATATTTTTTCTTTTAAATCACTTGACATGGTCAAAAGAGAGTTTTCTTGAAATTCTGTCCTACTGATAGACACTCTTATCTTAAAGATAATTCCAACATACCACACATAAGAGTAGAAAGCACAGTGGCTGGTTTGGGGAAGGATATAAGTAAACTCTCAAGAAGTTGACCACGAGGGCTTTATAGTAAGGAAATAGGAAATAGGAGAGGGTGCTTTATGAAGGTGTATTTTTGGCATAGTATATAAAATGCAGTAGTTTCATAAGAGCACACTATTTTGTCAGGCAGAGGCAACAAGTCTTGCTGCTTCATTGATCCATGGGTACACTAAAAGGGTAAACTCTATTTGTGCCAGCTTGTCTGTAGTAACCAACCTCTCTTCTCATCTCTCATGGCTCAAAGGCCACATCTCATGTCCCTAAATAGATGTTAATGTGACATTGTCATATCAGTTCATGTCCCAAATTTATTTACCCCTTCCCTGCCATAGAAATAGCCATGAGTTTTCCCAAAAGTTTTATGTCTCTTTATTTTAGTAACTGGGGATCTCTCTTTTATTTGTGCTTAGATTATAAGATGTGTCTGTGTGTGCATGTGTGTGTGTGTATTTAAACATTCTAAAACATTATTAGGAGTAGAAGCTGGGACTTGGATGGGAGCTAGACATAGTTGTCTACATTAGTCAGTCTGCCTTGAGGTCTAAATCAGGAGTCTATTCATGTGGAAACTTTGAATCTTCTTTTCTTCATAGTAAAATACTAATAATAATGCCAGTTTCACAGATGTTTAAAAACATAAAATTTTTCTTGCAAATGCATATGCTTGGAATATTTTGATATTCTTTACTAATATAAGAAAGTGTCAGTGTTATTTATTATCATATCAGATTAACTCCTATTACCTGACAAGGCCCAGAGGAATGGAGAGTTTTGTCAGAGACACATTTCTTTTTCCTTTTATGTGGGAAAATTGAGTGGAGGTGTAGGCTAATCCTACAGGGTATACATAGCTAGGGGAGTGATTATTAATAAAGAAGGTAAATGCCAGAGAAAGATGGCAGGTTTCTAAGATCAACATTTTCTACCTCAGAGTGACCTAGAGTATATTTCCTTTTCAGAAAACTATCATAAAGGAAATCATGTTAATTTAAGAGAAAAAAGTAAGATATATCTCTGAATTTTAACGTACACAACATATCATGAAATGTATTAGCTCCTAGAAAAAGACTGTCTGCAAATTAAATAGCATGTCACAATGGAATTTATAAATTAGGCATTTATATTTGAAAACTCTTATGCATTTGTGTGGGGACTGAATATATGCTAGGAGGCAATGGAGAATAGAAACAGATAATGACCAGAGCCCCAAGTGAAAATGTTAATGCTTTTTTTTTTTTTTTCTGTAGGAATCACAGATGAAAGCAATGAAAGAGACTGTACAACTCTGCTTGACATCAGTTTTCCGTGATCAACCTCCACCTTTGAGTCTAATCACATCAAATCCAACTAAGATGTTACTTCCACCCAAGACAGTAGCCTCTAAGATTCCAGATGCAAGGGCAAAAAGCAAGGTATATTTTATCCCTGCTTTGAAAAGTCGCATCAGGTAGTATACTGTCTTTAAAGTCTGTTCTATATAATCACCAGAGTGGATCCAAGTAAGATATCAATTGCATTGAAAGATTAAGATGTACATGGAAGATAGTAACCCAGTTTGTAAAGTCTTTATAGGCACTTGGAAAATGTTGAACGGCAGCTTTTCTTTAGTAGAAAGCCTAGCTCTTTCTTAAGTAGGATCATCTAATTTTTTTTTAAACAAAACAAAACAGAAATACAGAATAAGTTAAAAGAAAATATCTTGTATTGCATTCTAATGAACACCATGGAATTGACTGGAAAAAAATTTCTCTTAGGGTGTAAACATCATCCTCGCAGAAGTACTTTTTTATTTTTTTTAATTAAGTCTATAATTCTCAACATTGGCTACACATTAGTGTCATTTAAATACCAAAAAAAAAAAAAAAAAAAAAAAATGGCACCTGGGACCCAAACCCAGCCCTATTAAATCAAGATTCTTTCAGGTTGGCCTTTAGTCATCAGTAATTTTTAAGAGTCAAGGGATTGTAATGTGCATCCAAGTTTGAGAACAACTGATATGAGCAAATCTTTCTCCAAATCCCCACTACCACCCTACTTTAGACAGAGCAAAGGGACATTTTAGTGTTGCTTCTGTTTCAGTCTTCAAATTTCAATTAGTAGGTTCTACATTTAAGCAAATCCTGACAGCCAGGAATAGTTATTGGAGAAAAGAATTTTGTTTCAAGCAGTATTTTTTTTTTTTTTTGTCTTTTTTTCGTGACCGGTAAGGGGATCGCAACCCTTGGCTTGGTGTTGCCTGCACCGCACTCAGCCAGTGAGCGCACCAGCCAGTCTTATATAGGATCCGAATCCCGCAGTGGGAGCATCGCTGCGCTCCCAGCGCCGCACTCTCCCGAGTGCGCCATGGGGCCGGCCCTCAGGCAGTATGTTCGAAAGAGCTGGCTCTATGAACAACTGCCTAAGGACCACTTGCTATCAAAATGAGTGCTATGGGTAACAGCCTGATGTCTAAATGCAAATCTCTAGGGGTGAGCTCAGAACAAACTGAGAACTGCTGATTCAAAATACCTAATGATGTTACATCTGGAGTTTCTTACTGCTTATTCCAGAGATTCCCTATATGTGAATAGAAGAAGGTACAGAAAAATTGTAGATTAGGGAAATGCTATTTTCAGGATGGAGAGTCAGAAAAAAAGTTAAATACAGTAAGTTTTCTGATGTTCTGTTTTTATGTGTAACTAGTCAATTTATGAACTTTAGAGACTTAGTCTGTATAATCCCACTGTGAAATTTTAATGTGGCTTGGTCAAAACTCATTTAAAAATATGCATTTCTATCTCATCATATTATTGTCTTTGGTTTCATTATATACTGAAGGACATCTAAAAATTTTGAAGCCGGTACATTTCTTATTTATTTCTGTCCTTTCTCTGAAAACTGGATTCCAAGTATTTGTTTATTTAACCAAACTCAGGCAAGAGAAGTACATAATAATGAATTTTTTATGTTCATTATGAAAAATCCTCTGTAGATTCTTAAGAATGGTCATTGGTAAAATGCACAGTGTCCCACAAAATCTCACCCACCTACCAGAAAGTCACACCCAGAATCCACTTATTGTTAGTCTCTTAGGGAAGAGCAAAGGTTCAGTCTCATGAAGCCTGATGACCTTAAGCAAAGCAGCTTTGTAATCTTACGGGCACATTATATTTGTCTTCAACTCAAAATTTATTTGTTTAAACCCATTATTAAAACTGGGCTTTTTATGACCCTGAATGTGTGGAAGAAATAACTGATATTTGCTTTAACATATTTTCTATGAATAAATATATGTCATGTCATTGAAACAAATAATAAATATTTATTATTTCCTTTGGCTTATCACAGAAAAAAAGATAGAAAGCACTTAGATGAGTCTGGTTTGGAGATTGCTCATTTTTCAAAAAACAATAACAAAAATCCAATTCTTTAAGGTAAAGTTCAATAAATCTAAGTTAATATATTATAGAAGATTCTATTTTACAGGTTAGTATTAAAAGCTTGTCTGGTGCTTATGTTTCTCCCATATTTATTTTCTTAATAGTGGTGGAAATTGTATTTTATGTGTACTTGAGGCTTGATCTCTATGTACACACCTTTGGCCAATTTCACCTACTTTTATTTAATTTTTATAATCTCCAACCCTTCTTCAGTGGGATTTTTTCCCCCTGTAATCTGTAAAATACATGCAAGTAAACAATTTTCAGCACATACATGGAGAAAGACAAACTTCCTCCCAAAAGATGTTATTTTAATTTCTTCCAGTCAAATGCAGTCAAATTTTTATTCCTGTGCATGAAGGTCTGTATATACATATGTATGTATATGTTTATGTATATATGTACATATGTATATGGATTTTAAAAGCCACAGTTTCATTAGAAGGGGAGTTTAAAATTACAAGATTTTATTGGAGAAAGCTGAAAAAATGTATTCATAACCCCATGTTATTAATATATATTTTTTAAATTCTGTAGTATGTCTGTTACATAACCGTTTAGTCTTGTAGCTCAAGTTTCTGCCAAGGATTCCCAGTCAAGTCTATCAGCTTCCTTCCTGGTCATTGCATTTTCCATGATTATTATGCTTGTGTCTCACTGATTTGAGTAAATGTTTTGTTACCCTCCCAGTTAGGATTATTTTTGCTACTCTCAGTGCTCTAGTAGCTGTTTACTACTCTTGGTCCTTGGTCGTGCATTGAACACACTGATGTCTATAAAAGCCTCTCTCCTTAAGGGAGATGACAGTGCTTACCTCATCAATCTGCTTGACATTAATCAACATCCAGAACAATGTTTCTAGATAATTCATTTGAAATGGCATTTGTTGTGTGTCTCTCTTTTTATCAGACATTTTTTTTTATTTAGAAGTTAGGAAAATATATATGATTTAGTGCTTTTTAAATAATTTCTATCCAACCTAATTGTTTTCCATTGATATACCAAGATTGTACTCATCATTGGGGATGCACATTTGAAATGACACAGCCCTGACCTTATGGAGATTGTTACCTAATTCTCTGTAAACAGAAAGCAATGAAGAAAAATCCAAGGGGTGTTCTTAGTAGTAGATCAGGCTATCTCTGCTTGTTGATTTTTAGTACAGTATTTGGATTCCACATTCCAAATATATTTGGTTAAAGATAAAGACTAAGGAGACACTTAGGTCTAAATGCATGAGATCATGTATTTGTTATGTCTTTGTTGAAATTATATATTTGCTACGTAGAGAATAGTATTCCTGCAAAGATGTGAAAAGCAAAGATACAAACCCAGTGATCTGATTTGTGTTTTACATAAAATGACCCTAGAGTAGAAACAAGAAAGCCAGTGACAGATCCATGCAGGAGATGATGGTGACCTAGTTTGTGGTGCAGAAAATGGATATGTTATTCCATATGTTATTTGAGCATAAAACTAGTCTAGTGATTAAGTGGGATATATGAAGGGGGGAGAACAGGAATAACGCTTAGTGCTTGCTTGCATTCATTATAATGGTAAAGACAAGAGGAGGTTTTAAAGGGGAAGCCAAATTGTTTTGTTTTCATCATGCTGTATTTTGGGCATCGGTCATAAAACCAAGTATCTATCTCCAGTAGATGATTATACATTTAAATCTGGAACTAAGGGAAGACATTTGAGTGGAGATATAGGATTGGATATCAACACCATGAGTAGTAGTTTAGTGTGGAAAGTGGATGAAATTACTTGAAGAGACTGTGTAGAGTGAAAAGAGATGAGGTTCATAAAGGACCCCAGGCAAAAGAAATAACTTGAGTATGGATTTATGTGTCATCAAAAAGATGGAATGCATATGGTGGTGGAAGTGCATCCTTTCCCCTGATCTTTCGTTGAGACACTCTTCATTATATATTTGAGCTGAGAACCATGACTTTTCCATGCCTGTGTTACTGGTACAAAAACCACTATATGTACGTCACTCTGTATATTTAAAATGGTGAATACTCTAGTGGGCTATTGGAGCTGGCTCATACTTGCTTGCAAAAGTTGACTGTTAAATTTTCAGAACTTGTACTAGTCATCTGTTAAACATAGGCACTATTAAATATTAATTATATTTACTTATACTTAAATAAATTATACTAAAAGCAATGTGGTAAATATAAAACCTACTACATAGTCCTATTGTCTATGCCCTTGAAGATATTATGTCTTTTGGGTCTGTATAATGGAAACACTATATAATGGTGTGTTGTTACTGCATGTACTTTAAAGTCATATTCAGTGACATCATGTTGATAGATTGAACTTTGTAGTATTTATACCACGGAAATTGACAAATACTATATATCAGGGTCCTTCTAACCCACAGAGCTAGTGAATAGCATGTCACTGTGTGTATGTGTATGTATGTATTCGTGTGTGCATGGTGTTTAAGATCAGACTACTGGGCATCATAGACACTATACAAACAATAAATGATCAACATATTTATTTTTTTCTCTTGTACTGCTTAAGTGGTAGAGCTACATGCATAGTGGCTCTCAGAAAAGGCAAAAATAATTATTAAACAAAAAAGCTTGTTCAATTAATGACATTCTGAGAAACTAATTTTTATATACCCATCGTAATATTTAATTTAATTTTATTATAGTAATTTTATTTTTAAATTATATAAAATTTGGAAAATTTTTATATAATTTGGGAAATATATAAATGTAGGAGGAAGAGCAGAAAACATATCACCAAAGAGTTCCACCACTTTTAGGTGAAAAGATAGGAATTAGTACAACAGTAATATCTTCGGTATTTACAGTAGCATAACATGAAGTTTAAGAGCTAAGATTCATTAATTAGACTGATTAAATGAAAGTCTCTTTTCTGCTCCTTTCTAGTTTTGATTACTTGATCAAATCATTTTTTGGGACTCATCTTCTATATCTACAAAATAGAGATAATAACAGCACCAACCT